AGAGCATTAGGAATCTGCATCATCTTTAGGGCAGAAACTGTTTTCCTCTGGGGTGTAGCTGACCATTTTGTCTGTTGTCTGTCTTAAGTGAGTTCTGTATAAATACTGGCAGAGTGGACTTCATGGTCCTATACACTTGTTGAGGGAGATACAGAAGATTAATAAGTAGTAAACTGCCTTGACAGTGGCTTGTTATGTGTGTCGTGATAATTATCTAAGTTAATACATATAAAATATTGCCAGATGGTTAAAAGTGCTTGGGCTGTTCTACAGTGAGTAAAGTTTAAGGTGTGGCAGTGATTAGGAAAAAGGTACTCACTAAGTGTGGCCAGACCTAGATTTCCTTTAGTTCTTGTTTTCTTTGCAGTACTGGGCACATAGGAGATGAAACATTTCTCTTATCTTTTAAAATCATTCAATATAATAAATGACCACTACTCCTTTTAGAACTCATTTCCATTTCTAAGACTTAGCATGCTTCCCCTAGGTGTAGAACTGAGAGGGTTAATGCATTATTTAAACAACTGATAGTTCAATCTGTGTCCATGTTTTAAAATTTCCATGGCTAGTATCCCTATCTTTGGCAAAGCCTCAAGTAATTTATGTTGGAGGAAAAAATAAGTATCCCAATAGCATATTTGCACTTTGTTGGGGGGAGGGGGAGTTGTGATTGATAATGATAAATACATGAACACTTTTGGCAAGAAAAAGGTGTGCAAAATGAGACAGAAAATTCAAAGGATATTGTTAAAAGTAACTTTTCCTGGGACAGAAAAGGAAGTTTGCAATGGGTTTCACTCTCTTACTAAAGCCAAAAAACAAATTGAAATAAAAGTTTAAAAAATGCTCCACAACCTCAAACTTAAGAAGCAATGTAGAAACAAAACAAAAACAGTACAAACTATGAAGATAAATAGCCCATAAGAGAAGAAAATAAATATCTTGAGAAATGTGAAAAATAGAACTTCAAGGAACAATTTGTAGGCTGATAGAGTAAATACAATTTGTATTTGCACAATTTGTATATAAATTCCTTAGAATTTATATGCAAATGAATTTATATATATAATGTCTACAATGGAAGTGTTTTGTGTAACTGCACATATATAACCTATATTTAGTTGCTTGCCTTATCAGTGAGGGTGGGTGGGGAGGGAGGAAGGGAGAAAATTTGGAACCCAAAGTTTTAAAAACACATGTTTAAAAAAAAAATGTTTTCACATGCAACTGGGAAATAAGAAATACAGGAAATGGGGTACAGAAATCCATCCTGCCCTACAGGAAAATTGAAGGGGAAGGGGATAAGAGAAGTGGAGGAGGGAGAGATAGAAGGGAAGGCAGACTAGGGGAAGGGGTATTTAGAATGCATGTCATCTTGGGGTGGGGGGAGGGGCGAGATGGGGTGAAAATTTGGAACCCAAAATCTTGTGGAAGTAAATGTTGAAAACAAAAAATAAATAAAAATTACCATTAAAAAAATTTATATGCGTAGTTGACTGGAGATAGTCTGTGAAACTGATGTGCATTGAGGTTAACAACAAATGTGTTTTATATTTTTTCTCCCAAACCCTGAACCACATTTTAGTTTAAATAAGTGTTGAAATGAAAATAAATGGGAGATTATAGCTTAGCAGGGGGGAAAAAATCTGCTGTCAATGCAGTATAACTTCATTTTACTTGATCAACAGTTCAATGGGAATAAAAGTGATAATCCTCAGCTAACTTGTATTATCAGATGAAGGGAGATAGCACAAGTGGAGAGTATAATTTATCAAGATGGCTTGTTTAAAAATATTTTATAATAAAATTCAAAATATTTTTTTTTATCCTGATCATGAATTTTAGCACATAGACAAAATTAAAAAAGCAAAATGAAGAAACAAAACGCTGCTGAGGAGTTAATTCCCATCTGTCAGAACTGCCGACATTTTTTTTTTTAACAAGTCACTTACCTTGTTTAGGTGAAATTTGAAATGTTCCTCCTGAAATCTGCCTCTTGAACAACCTCATGATTGGGCTCATGTCACGGAGAGAAGAAAGTGACTTTTGCATTTCTATCATTCCAAATGCTTTGGGCTCTTCCAAAGGAAGATAAAACACAAATTGACAGTACAGTAACAGAAGTAGTAGTAGACACAATGCATTTTCTACTAAAATAATTAGTTCTGAAACCAATTAATACTGCTACTACTAATAAACAGTGCAGAAGCCAGCTCTTTATTTGTTTCATATGGATGATTTTAAACCAGGATTATTGAAGAACAGTTCTGAGTAGCTGCTGACAAGTGAATGTCTCTCAACTGGAATGCATAGCAAACCATGTCAAAAGGGTGGTGACATCCCAAAGGACAGTATGTCTAAAACTAGTCCCTATGTTTAGCAGCACCTTTTTGCCACAGTAAATGAAATCAGCAGTGGAGAAGGAGCATAGAAAGGAAAAATGGAAATGAAAAGGACAAGAACACAGTTACTATTTCCAGCATTTCTCAAGATTGACTACCCAAACCATGATGCTGCAACTGAGTATGCCAATGACAAAAGCACTCGTGAAAAGATTCCATCTTTATATTCCACAAACTGATAAAATCTCATCATACCAGGGATTACGCTTTGTAACTTTGCCACTTTGATTACATTTATGCCCACTGGATAATTTTTCATGTATAACGGTTCAAAGATTTGCAGCCCCACAAAAGAATCCATAAGTAGGACTTGAAATGGAACTAAAACTTTATCTAAAGGTATGAGAAATGCAAAAAAAAAAAAAAATAGCCTTAAGATAAATAAGATGGAATTCTGTAGAGCTAAGGAAGGGGGGAATGAACTGGTGGAGACAGTCTGGAATATTAGTCACATTTTAAGAATATAAATGATTCAGAGCCAGCAAGCTGGCCAACATGATATGTTGAAAGAGTAGGGATGAGTATCATACAGCTGTCTATTTTAGCTAAAACATTTTTTAAAGCAAGGTTATTGGAATGAAGTTCTCACTGATGCAACAAGATTTGAACATGTCCATTATAGCCACTGTTGGTACGATACAATAAATAAATCTGTTTTAACAGTGTAAGAGTTCTAATTACTGAGCATCATTTACCTACATTATATACAAAAGTGTCTCATCCTGAAGGGGAAAAAAAATATTCAGGAAATGGGTAGATAAAGCACTCCACTTGCTCTGGTAAGTTCATCTCAAAGTATGCTTTTTTTTTCCTTCATGGTAGGGAAGTGGGGTTATGAGAGGGAAGAAAGCCAAATTCATGATAAATATTAATTTAAAGGATTAAAACTACCGGCTAGAGGCTAGAATAAACAACAAGGGCATTGGAAAAAATGGAATCTCTTTTTTTTTTTTAAATGGACAATATTTGAAGTCAGGCCATTATATCCATTGTTTTTCCAGAATAAACTCCAAGTGCTAAAAACTCAGACACCTAATAATAACATTACCCATCCAATGATGTCTGGATAACATGTGCACTTACAGACATCTATATTTGTCTTAAAACTATTAGCAACATTTTCAATCATTTACAGCAGAATAACTGAAGGCAGGAGATAGTATCTTCTAGGCATTCTTCTTCAAAGCAGATGTCTAGTGAAGAAAAATATCCCCACATTTTACTAGTGGCTCAGGTCAACTCATTTGGACCTGGTTAATTCTAAATAGCAGAGACTTTGGTTACAAGAATCACTTTCTAGGTTTCTGACAAACACCAAAATTGCTTGATTTGGAAAGATATGGGAGGGAAGGTAGAAGAGTAGGAACAACAGATGACAAGAATTGATGGGAGTAATTGGCAAGTGTAGAAATGAAGTGGGAGAAACTACAAAAATTTATTTTCCCACAAAATAATTCCACAAGCTGTGTAAACTTTTCTTCCTAAAACAAGTACTATAAAACACAAAGATTGTACCATTTCCAGTGAAACACTCACAGTAACAAGTGCCTGTGTTTACTCTCTGGGAGTCTCACAAAAAGAGCCAGCAGATTATGCTTTCCCATTTACCTTTGGCAGCAAATTTCCTCAAATTCCCTGACTGCACATTGGATTAATAAAGTAATGTAGAGCACAACAAAATAGAAATCCAATTGGGCAGAATTTTAAGTATCAGTCTCTGTTTTTTCTTCAACAGACTCTTTTTGCATTCAGATTCATGTCACCCTTTCACACTCACTGTAACATACATACCATACACACACATACACGCACACTCTCTCACACTCACACACAGATACACACATACACATACCCCTGCATGCAAAGATTTCTGGCTCATATGCTCCAGTGCTATGACTCTAACAGACACTAACTACTAAGAATGTGTTTGTTACAATCAGTGTGAATCCTATGGACTAGAATAATTAATTTCTAGAGTTTGGTACCTTTACCATACCTTATGGTCAAAATGATAAGCTTGTAAGGATGGTATGGCATTGTTGAATTAAACCTTTCTTTATCTCAAGCAATCACACATATTTACATTATGTACAGGAGACTTTCTACTACAGAGGGAAAAGTATCAAGACTGAATGTTGTTACAAATTTCCTGAATTGAGGGCATCTCCAGTCCCTGTAATTCAAAAGCAAATCTGCTGACTTGGCATTAGGACTCTTAAAATAGTGTGATCAAACTGATATAATAAGAAGGTGTTTACAGAAATAACATTTACAAACTGTATATACAGTACACAGTACCAGTACATAGAAAATAGATTCTCACTTTATGATCCCCTTTGTGTAAGGCAAGACTGAATCTGTCCCCCAAATTTAGTCAACCAGAGGTACAAGCAACAGATAGTGGTCCTTAAATGAATATGCAAATTGGGAGAAAATACAATTTTGTTTGTTGTGTAGGCTGACTCTGGCTTGCTGAATACACAGGAGATTATTACACATCAACTCTAGCTTGTTTAAAACACTAACACCATCTGAAGATGGCAGTAGATATTGTTCAAGGGGCAGCTACCAAAAACAGCTTTGTAAAAGTCAAGTACAACACCAGACGCCTGCAACTGTACCAGGTGAGTCAATATAGCACTTCCAAAAATAATAAAAAAGTATGTGAATATTCTATCTCATGCTATTGCTCTGCAAGCAACAGCAATACAAACTGTACAAGACGGAGAGATACCATTTGATTTGTGATGGAGAACCAAAATATTTTGTGAGGTTTTTTTGGGGGGGGGGGGGGGTTGGGGAGAGTGGCTGTTTTACAAGACTTCCAAGAAACAAGCCAAAAAGTGCCTCAAAGGCTCAAGTTACTGTCGGATATAAATATCCCTGTTCCACTCCACAGCCTCATTCCGTTTTTTGGATATCACTTCTCCATCCTTGTCACAGTATCGATCTTTTGATTTATGTCGGCTGCGCTGCTTGTGGCATTCATTGTGGTCCTGCTCTCGGTCAGCCTCCCTAGACCGGTGCCGAGATTCTCGGTGTCTGTGGTCACTGTTCCCGCGCAGGTCATCCCTGTGGTTGTGATCCCGGTGAGGGGCGTAGTGGTCTCCATGCTCATGGGAGTAATCCTCCTTTGGCTCAACATAGGCTGAGTCTCGACTGTCTTGGGTTTCCGAGTCAAACGTCTCTTGCCTGGAGAGGCCTCGGCCCAGGCCACCGCGATGGTTGTGGTGCTGTGCTGAAGAGGAGGAACGGTGTTGAGATTTCCTGACCGGCTCCAGACAGGGCTCCTCCTCAGCTTGGGAAGCAAAGCAGGTGGGAGCAGAATAGTCATTCCTCTGGTCTTGAGAACCCTGGGTCGGGTCAGAAGAATAAGTAGAGGTTAGTCAAGGTAAAAAAGTAAGAGCATGAATTCTGGGTTCCAAGCAGAAATCAATTATAGAAGTCATTGACTCTACCCCCTGCTCCCTCTTAAGGATGAAGAAACAGATTCAGATGTTAAGTTGATACAAAGAAGAAGAAGAAGAAGAAAATCTCCTACCTGTGAATTGGAGGCTGGGGTGGAGCTGACAGGAAGAGATGCCGTGGCTAGAGTGCGGCTAAGGAGAGGGTTGGGTGGATTGCTGCTGGGAGGATGCGTGGCCTTCCAGTAGGCCTCCATGTAGTCAGCAAGGTGTTCACAGGCATCTTCAAGCTGGTTTTCATCCAGGATCACATCAAACAATTCCTGTAGAGGGAAAAAAAACCAAACATTTAAGATCCTACTTCAGCTAGACCAGCATTATGATGCAAGGGAAAACAACAAAACCAAACCCAACCCAAACCCTATGAGACCTACAAGTAGAGATACACTGTCTTCTTCTCATTCCATCGATGGTTTTTTTTTTTTTCCTTTTCTTCCCGAACTCTTCTCCTAATAGTTTCCATGCTTTCAATACTTTCCAGTCATGGGTTGCCTTCTATCTACTCTATAGATATCTTACATGTCCCTGTTTACTCACATGTCATTTCCCCTTTAGAATATAAGCTCCCTGAGGGCAGGGACTATTTTAGCTTTGCTTTCTATCTCCGGTCCCTAGCACAGTGCCTGCCATTTAATAAATACTCAATCCACGCATGTTGATGCTTGATCTTTCTCCTACCATATTGTGTATAGGTTCTTGTAGGACTTGTAAGGGGCCGTTGGAGTAAATGGCTACGTTTCACTTCCATGCTGGGGAATCTACAACCTGTAATTCTGAAGCCCTGATCAAGTCTTGTCTTATACACCGAAGAGAAGTGATAACTCACTGGTGGACACTGGGCCAGTTTATCAGCTGCCACCATCTGGACATTGAGGTGTTTTGCTTGAGATTTTCCCCTAGATTTTATTAGCCTTTGCAAAACCTGCAAGAAACACAATTACGAGGTGATTCAAGGTAAGAGGTTCCAGAGAGAGCAAAATCTACAGAGTTTAAAATTCCCATAATCCTTTTGGGGCAGGATGGAGTGGGAAGCAAGGTGCTTCAGAAGCGAAGCATTTTGCTTGTAATGGACTGAACTGCCATCTCAATGAAGTGTTGAAATTCCAATTGTAAAAAGCATGCATATTTACAAAAATCTCAGTCAGGGGCTTCACAACACACTCCTGACACCAAATTCACTCGGAGTTTCATCATTTTTCAAGACTCGAAAGTGATAATCACATTTTGCTCATATCGATCTCACATCTGTTGCCTCACATGATAGCTCTAAGGCATTTTCTTGCTGGAAGTGCGGAATAAAAAAGATACACAATTCATCAATGGTTACTGACATTTAACGGAAGCCGTGTGTTTTAACATTGGCCCCAATTTCAAAGAAGATGCTTTGTTGCATTAGGAGATGAGAACATAAAACATATCCTGGGGAAATGCAAGTTATAGAATAAAAACAACAGCAATCCTATTTACCTTTGGAGAAGAAATCTTTACGTAGACTATAATTGGAGCCAGAGAGGTTTTACTGAGCTGGGCTGGATGATTGATGGTGTCTGCATCCAAGACTACCAGCTGCAAAGTCCTTGCCAGTTCAAATATTCTTTCAATCTCACTCTGAACTTCAGCTGTAAAGGTAAGCAGGGTTCAATAATTTCAGGTGCAGCCTATTAGGCCAAATTACGTTAAAATAAAATGACTGCTGTGCTGTTCTTGCCACACTTGAGGCCGACAGTGAAATGCTGGAATTATAGACATGATAGTAGAGAAAGAGTTTCCTTTGAAAGGAGTTATTTCCCCCAAGCACGTGCAGATTTGAAAGAATGTTCTTTCAAGCCAAAGGCCTGATTGTGAGAGGAAAAGTAGACTTCAAAGGGCCAAGAGATTTCTAAAAGAAATGTACTTTCTGCCTCTCTCTCTACACTCACTTATATTTTCACCAGAAAGCTCTCACCTGATGATATAATTCATAAAAATATAGAAAAGTAATACTGGAGATACTTTTTTTTTCCTGGTTACTTCTCCTTGGCTGCAGCCACCATCCAGAATACTTGCATTTTCCTGTCTCCTTTGGTTATGTGTGCTGGTAAATCATCTAGAAGGTGGTGAGGATTATGATGAAAGTGCAGCCCTCGTGACCCAAAAGAAATGGAAGCCTGATGACAGTGGTTTCTGCTCCCAGCACACCTAGTGAGCTGATAGTTTCCATGACCAGAGGAGTGAGCTCACAACTTTCACATTTCAGAAACATGTGCCCCTAGCAAAGGCAAAACCACAGAAATGCAACCTGCCCAGTTCCCAGAAGTTGACAACCAAAACTGTTCTGCAAGAAAAAAAAGGGTCAATTTATCTAGTTCCCTTTCCATTCTCTCTAAAGTGATCAAAGCCTAGAATGCAGCAAACAAGCCTTAATGTCCACAGCTAGAGGGCCTTCCTCATTTTTATCTTGTGTTAAAAAAACATTTAAAAAAAGAAACATTTTCAGATAAATTTTTATTATCATTTTTAAACATCATCTGCATTTCACAACCTACAGCCCACCCCGTACCCCTTTTCAGAGAGCCATTCTTCATAATAAAGAATGAGAAAAAAAACACTTCAGCAAAACTAACCAACATATGGCAAAAGTTTGAAATCATAGTTAGACATATTATCTTTAAATTGGCCCCACATGCTTAGCCCTGGGACAGAAGTTTCTTAAGGGTAATCTTAACTAGTATCCATTTCAGAAACATCAGACATCAGAAAAGGTAAGTTAATTACTGCCTGAGGAGAAGGACATGTGGATAACTATTAAATGTGGCTATTTGCATAAACCACTTCTAAAATAAGGAGAAAGCTTCTTGAGACCCACCATTCAAGTGACATAGTGATCATTCTTATAAAAACCATTCCAAGGCATTATTATTTTATTCAACAACTCTTGGTTAAGGTTTGGTGTTTGCGATTCATTTTAAAAGCTCCTACCCTGATCCTTCTCTTAAAATGGATTTATTTGTGTTCCATGGAGCAGTCTCTTTCATTCCAAGCTGGATTATGAGTTCAACTTTTTTTTTTTTTTAAACACCAGCATGTAAGTGACCTGGTCATTGTGAAGCCTATGGTGATTCATTATAAGCTCTAACAGAATTGGCCCAGTTGGAACAAATTTCACTGGGTGGTTGTCTAAGGATCCAAACTCTGCTAATTGGGCAAGTCACTCCCCCCATCCCCATCCCGTCACTTTCCTCTGTAACATGAGGGGATTGGACTCAGTGGGTCACTGAGGTCTCTTCTACCTGTAGATCTAAAATCCAGTGACCATACAATATCATTTAGAGGTTCTTCACTAGAACCCTGGACAAAAGAGGGGTCATTAAAAAAAAAAACCCTAACATATGAAAACATCTACTAAGGTAGGAATTCTTAACTTTGTGTCATAGATCTCTTTTGCAGTGTGGTAAAACCTATGGACCCCTTCTCAGAATAATGCTTTTAAATGCACAAAATATATAGGATTACAAAGAAAATCCATTATATTGAAATAGTTATCAAAATATTTAAAAAAAAGTTCCCAGACACCTGGTTAGAACGCCTCTACTATTAAGGCACGCAGGGTTTTACAATGTGCATTAGGAGAACAAGCACTCGTATTGATGCAATGATGTTGATAAAATCTTTTAAAGGAGTATGGAAGTACTTTAAGGTTCATATTTTATCTACTTCTTTGCTTTGGGACTTACAGCAATATTTATCTGACCTGAATTAAAAGCCAAATAATACATTTAATCAATTGTATATGTCAATATCCACCTTAAAAATAACTAGAGTTCACACACCCCCGCCCTCCCCACAAAACCCCAAAGCACTATTTTTGATGCAAAGAGGTGAGCTTATTTGGGGATGACCTCATGAGAGTTCCAAGCCATCAGAGATTAGTGTCTTTAAACTTGTTCTGCCTTCTCACCCCTGCCTTTTAGAAATGGATTTTCCCCCCGAAGACTCATCTCAAGAGACACCAGCAGGAGGCCTTTCCTAGTCCTACCAGCTGCTAGTGCCCTCACCTCTCAGGTTATCTCCTGTCTCCTCTGTATGTATCTTATACTCGCCTATTTACATTCATGTGGTATATGCCCGTCCGATTAGAATATCAGATCCTTGAGGACTGGGACTGATTTTGCCTTTTCTTTGTTTCTTCCATAGTAAGTGCCTAATAGATGCTTGGTAATTGAGTGCCTGTTGATTTATTTATTGGACGAAGAAGAACTTGACCAACATTTTCCAGAGAGAAAAAGTGCCATAAGCACAGGTAGTTTGTAGTCAGAGAAACATGTTAACACTAAGAATCTTCCCTTGGCTCAATACATTGGTTTTTTTTTAAAAGATTAATTCAGTAAAAGAGATGTCAAAGATATTTGGCATCAATTTCTCCTACAATTTCTCCAAAGCCAACTTCTGTCTCACAGAAGGGACCAATTTGCCTTGAAGGATGAAACAAGTCATCTGCTTGAGGAGAGAGATAATACTTATCTTTGTATTCCACACAGCACTTGGCACAAATGTACAGCAAGTGTTCAAGTCAGGATCATTCTTCAATAAAATGACTTCAGCTCTGTGATTCTTCACTTTTCTACTCTTTTAGGAAGAAGAGGGGGCACCTCGGTGGCACCATAATGCACAGAGTTCGGGTCCTGGAAGACTCATCTTCCTGAATTCAAATCTGGCCTCAGATACTTACTGACTGTGTGACCCTGGGCAAGTCACTTAACCCTATTTGTCTCAGTTTCCTCATGTGTAAAATGAGCTCAAGTGGCGAAACACTCCAGCATCTTTGCCAAGAAAACTCCAAATGGGGTCACAAAGAGTCAGACTGAAAAATGACTGAACTAGAAAGAAAAGAGTACTCAACTCGAAAAAAAAAAACAAAACACAAAAAAACAAACCAACCCAATCCTTCCCTGAGATAAAAATGAAGATAAGCTGACTAGTTTATGAAGGTATTTCCCAGAAATACAGAATGGTTCAGACACAATGTAGTGAATCTAGTTAACTCGACAGTGTCTAGGTGTAGTAGACCAAGGTACAAAGATACGAAGGGAATGAGACATAGCTCTGAGTTCTGGCTGTGCTTACAGCATTAAGAAGTAATGCATAGTAATAAAAGTATTAATAAACTTATCAGCTTTCTTGGGTTTATTTATCTCTGCAGATAACTCCAGCTCTATTTTATCTTAGCCTTATCTCCTTCCTGAATTCTAATCTTGAATCTTCAACAGTCTACATTCTGAAATAGATGTCCCACATGGACCCCAAACTCAACATTTCCAGCAATTATCTCTCCCCTTAAACCCAACCTTCTTCTAAACATCCCTGTTTGTGTTGAGGGCTCTGCCATTCTTCCAATCACCCAGGTTTGCAATCTTGTACTATCCCTGACTCTCCAGTCTCATGAATCCCACTTATACACTCAGTTGCTACGGCAACACATTTCTCCTGTCTATCTCCTCTTCACTGACGTGATTAGCATCATGGTTCAGTCCCTATCATATCTTACCTGGATTATTCCAATAGCCTCCTGAATGGTTCTTCTGCCTCAAGTCTCTCTGCCCCAAACCATCCTCCACACAGCCACCAAAGCGTTTTTCCTAAAGTGCAGAACTAACCAAGTCACTTCTACTCAATAAACCAAAGAAGTTCCCTACTATCTCTAGGATCCTGTATAAACATCTCTGTTTGGCATTTAAAGCTCTTCACAATCTGGCCCCATCCTATCTTTCCCACCTGATTACATATTATTCCATAGACTCTATAAAACTAGCCAAACTGGTCTACCTCCCATTTCCATGGTTTAGCAATGACCATCTATTCCTTTTTCCTGGAATGTATTCCTTCTTCTCCTACAAGTCTTGGAATCTCTTGTTACCTTTAAGAGTCAAATAAGCTGAAATGCCACCTTCAGCATGAAACTTTACCTGGTTTACCATTGGTAGTTCTCCCCCACCCCCTTTCCCCCATGTTATCTTGTATGTGCTTTGTATGTCTTTTGTATATGCCTGTAATGTGTACACATTGCCTCCTCTTTTAGAATGTTACCTCCCTGCTCCCACCTTCTGTGCATGTATTTTAAAAGACTAAGATGGTTGGTAAGCTCCCTGTGCAATTCTCTGTTTTTTTTTTTTTTTTAATTCCCACTCCCCTTTATCTTCCTTAAATTTATTTTCGCGTGAGCTTTGAGAATTTCATTCTTTAGGGGCAGCTAGGTGGCGCAGTGGATAGAGAAACGGCCTTGGATTCAGAAGGACCTGAGTTCAAATCAGACCTCAGACACATAACACTTACTAGCTGTGTGACCGTGGGGCAAGTCACTTAACCCTACTGCCTAGCCAAAAAAAAAAAAGAATTTCATTCTTTAGAGTTTTCCATCCCTGTTTTGCTGATGTCCCCAGCAGAATTTTAAATCATGGGATCCTACCTCAGCTTCCTCTAAACTCTTTGAAATATGCTTTCCAAAAATTTAGAGTTCCTGTCAGACTTATCTTTACTAACTCTAGGACTTATCTTTACCAACTCTAACTTATCTTAACTAACTCTAGGATGTAATGGTTATTTCCCTTTAACAAGCATTACCTCCTCTCTAGTACTTTCTGAG